GGGCGCGAGCGGTTCGCGCTGTTGTTCTGAGGGAAAAAAGTCTCTAAGCGCGGCGTGTTGCTGCTTGGGACGGTGTAAAGTAGCCCCCTGCCTTGTCTTGGCTGGGTGAAACCCCTGCAGCGCTCTTCTGGAGGGAGCTGCAGGAGCGTGGCCGCAGCAGCTTTTCGGTGTGGCCTTCCAGGTAGCTCGCTGAGGGGGGGAGAATTCGCTTTTCAGTCCCCTCGGCGGTGTTTAGGCTTGTCAGCGTCGAGGGGAGGTGATGCTTGTCGCCTTTCGGAGTGCTCCCCAGGGGAGGCGGTTAATGTGTCATCGCCGCTGCAGTTCTGATGCGTGAGCTCGCAGTGCAGGCAATTTATTTAATCACTGACTTCATCCCTCGAAGAGCTCTGGTAATTTCCAAGACTGCATGGTACAGGGCAGAGTGTGAACACAGAGCTTTTCCAGTCGCAAAGGGTTCGTAGCATCTCCGTGACCAGAAGAAGCCTTCCAACAAACACTGCGAAGATCTCGCATTTACAGCCTTATTTCTGTGTTAAAACCACGACAGGAAAAGTAGAAAATAAAAATACTATTGAAGTAGAACATCACTGTGGGAGAATTGTGGGTGCTAAGGGGGGGATATTCCTGGCAGGTGACTCCCAGTGCCCTGGGGAACTCTATTTCAACCAGTTGGGCTTTGGTTGATGGGGAAGATCCGTCCACATTGGGTAATTTTCAGGATCAAGGCTTAACCGTGGTGATTTCCAGACCTTTTGTGGTCTTTCAACTGTTTGATGTTAATGCTACTGAGCACGGTTTAATATCTGCAAATTGACTGTTACCCTGCACAATGCCGAGGCTTTCTGTAACTGCCATCGCTGCAGCTTTCTGAAATGGTGGCTCCTTGCCATGGCAGACAAGGCTGCTCGCTGCGGGGTGAGGGTAAATATTGCAGAACTGTATTAATGTACTGAAACAATGCATCTAAATGCTAAGCTCCGGCAATAAAATACTTCTACTTTCCTAATCGCTAAACCTTTCCTCTTCAGGAACGGTGCTGTTTTTACAGTGGTGTAAGCATACAGGGCTGAGTACAATAGGAGAACTGTGTCACATAAATGGGCAGTTTTCCCTCCGGAAGAGCTTGCAGTTTAGGAGCACAAGCTGGAACCGCACCGGACAACACTGAATTGTACCATGCTGAAACAGCATGGTGGGTGGCTCTTGTTAAGTGCAATGGAGCACAGAACAGATGGGTTTCAAGGAGTATCTTGGAGGAAGAGAGGGAGAGAGCTTTGCATGCATTAGAATAGAGTCTGTTCTGGGCATAACAAACAGCACTGCCAGTTCTAGGGTTTTACACTTCCTTTAGTTCTTGCTTCATAAATCTGGTCTCTCTATGAATGCTTTGTGGAAGGGTAGTTTCTCAGACCACAATTTCACATATTTATATGTTTATTACTGCTCCAGAGCAGTAATAATGTGTCTTCTGTGACTATTCTTACAGCAGCACCACCTGAGTAGACAGGTCATATTAACAAGGCAATTCTCTAATCATAGCACACTAAAA